AGCTAGGTCTTCTAGATAACTTGCTACAGCCTCTGCATAAGCACTTGCTGCTTCATCTTGCACTTTTATGAGATTGAGACAGCTTCTTTCCTTAAACCTCATGAAACAACCTCTAGTAGTTTCAAGCTTTTCTTTGTACCTTCCTCATCTATCTAAGCCTCTGTAGAACTGAAGAGAGTTAGAGCCTTGCTCTGGATTAGGTTTTGACTTAAGGGAATGTTACGGCTAGTTTGATCTTCTATCCAGACCACACAAACTTTCTCCATATCAGCAATTAGAATATTTCACTTTCTTATCATTCATGTGTTCACTGAAGTAGCACTTTTAATTTCCTACAAGAACTTTTCCTTTGCATTCCTAACTTGGCTGTTTGGTGCAAGAGGCCTGGCATTTGGCCTATATCAGCTTTTGATGTGCCTTCACACTAAGCTTGATCATTTTTAGCTTTTGATTTAAAAATGAGAAATGTGCAATTTTTCCTTTCACTTTAACACTTAAAGGCCATTGTAGGGTTCTTAATTGGCCTAATTTCAATATTGATGTGTCTCAAGGAATGGAGGAGAGGGGAGAGATAGGGGAGCCACCAGTCAGTGGAGCCAATTGGAACACATACAATATTTATGGATTAAGTTCACCATCTTATATGGGAGCCGTTTGTGGCACCCCAAAACAATTACAATAGTAACGTCAAAGATCCCTCATCACAGATCACCATAGCAGATGTAATAATAATGAAAAAGTTTGAAATACTATGAGGGTTACCAAAATGTGACACAGAGACATGAAGTATGCACATGCTGTTGGAAAAATGGTGCCAGTAGACTTTGCTCCAACAAAGCGTGGCCACAGACTTTCAATTTTCAAAAAAAACCTTAAAAAAAAAAAAAACCTTATCTACGAAGTACAATAGAATGAGGTATGCCTGTGTATTGAAAAAAGTGCCATGAGGGTATATTATTGTTCAAGGTGCAGTTTGCATGAAGAAAAAGGTACAGTCTTATGGGACTCCATACTGCATTTGGGACTTCAGACAGGCTAACAGTCAATTACTGCTCATTTCCCATATGCATTGTGGTGATCTGGTTGGTTCTAACCTCTGTATCACAAACGTCCTCTGATGGCAATGTCGTGACTAGCGCCCCTGTATTCCTACTCAAGAGTTTATTTAATAGACATCTTCATAAAGATTACTATTCGTAATCATCTAAATTTTTATGTGCATACAGATGATGTGTCCTCTGGGTGTGCTGTAGGATTACAGGCTTCTGAACTATTAATAATAGCTAAATCACCTTGGGCAAATTGCTCAACCTCTCTGAGTTTCAGTTCATAATATAGTGAAAGTAAATAATACCCCAGTTTTGGGGGGATTTAAATGAGATACTGTGCGTGAAGAGTTCAGCATAATGTTCTGCACAGAATAAGCACTCAGTAAACCATGGCTATTAATTATAATGAACTTGATAGACTTCCAAAAATGAATGCTTTCTTTTTTGCCTATGCTATCCTACTTGGAAGACCTCCTACATCTGTTTTTTAAAGAATAATGCCCTCAGAGAACAGCAGCTTCTCAGTAATAGAATAAGTGACAGTCTAAAGTTAATTGTGCGTAAAACATATCATATTCTCTCTAATTATTGAATGTTCTCTGGAGTGTGTTTCCTTTAATGATGAAGAAATATAAAAACTGCTACAGTAGTTGGAAACTATATGCCTTTCATTTAAAAAGTAAAATTGTTTTATATTAAATAAGAAACACGAAAGAGAGGATACCCCTCCTTGAAACTGAGCAGCTGGGGATATATGTCAATTTTAAGGCCAGAAAAGAGGATCTTGGGTCTTTTCACCCAGAGATCTGCATTTCCTTTTAGACTCATCCAGTTAAATCAGGGGTCACTGTATTTCGAGTTTCTTGCTGTGTTCCCAGTTTCCCACCGCATAGCAGAGTTTCTCCAGAGGCCTCTGAACATGGGCAGGGAGCGGCCGCTTCAGCAGTAAACACCACAGTTATCGGCGCTGGGAGAAACGGCAACAGCGAGCAAGCTGCTTCGGCTTCCTGCTGCCAGAGCCTCTGAACGGGTAGAGACAGCCCCACGCAAGGCATAATTTTAGATTTACTCTTAGGAAAATTAAAATTAATGAACTACTTTTTTCATTTGGGATGTAATTTTTCCCTCTTGGAATAACAGTACTGTGTATTCTATTCTACCAAAATGGAGGATCCCATCTAAAAAGCAGGCATATCTATAAGCCATGAAACATTTTGATTTCCTATATGCTCAACATTTTGCTGATGAAAAAAAAATTTTTTTTTTTAAATCTCAGACACTTCGGAAGTTGGAACTCATGTTAGAAAAAGCCTATTCGTGGTTGATTAAGTGCCACTTGCATTCAGGGCTCTGGGACTCAGCTCATCCTCCTCAAGGGCCAGTATGCGCAAGCTGTGCGTGCAAAGCTAGGAAATACCAGGAGGATGCCTGTTTCCACCCGCAGGAGTTTAGCTCAGTTCAGCAGATGCCAAGGGCCTGCTCTGACGCTTGCCTCCTGGCAAGGATTCACTCTGGCATGTTGTGTTGGGGTGCAAGTGCATTAAGAGAAATTTTAAAAAATGTAATGCCGTAAGATTCAAAGGCAGAGTTAGATAGATTGTGGTTTAGTAACATCTTTCTGGAAGCAGAGCCCAGGCACAGTAGGGAAGACATGCACAAATAATTATTGATATAAATTTCCTTGTATTACAGTTCATTATACATTAAAGAGATGGGAAAACATGCTTAGCAAAAAACATGATCATGCTAGACATACTATTTTGTATCCTGGTTTCACCACTTAGTGCATTTTGGACATTTTCTATGTCATCACATATGCTTTTTCACATACTCTTAATAATTGCATGACTTCTTTAACCATTTCCCTTACTGCTAAGTTCAGTAAGAAGATATAAATATAAGAAAAATTAAACCATGAAAGTATTAGGAGAAAATATATGATCTAGAGGGTGAGGCACATTTTTAAATACATGGTATTAGAAGCAGAAAACATAACAGAAAAGATAAGTGGTTTTGAGCACATAAAAATTAAAAATCCTTTGGGAATCGAGAGCACTATAAATATAATTTAAAGGCATTATCTCATTTAATTCGAGACAGAGTCTCACTCTGTTTCCCTGGGTAGAGTGCGTGGCATCAGTCTAGCTCACAGTAACCTCCAACTCCTGGGCTCAAATGATCTTCCTGCCTCAGCCTCTCTGGGACTACAGGCATGTGCCACCACACCTGGCTGATTTTTCTATTTTTAGTAGAAATGGGGTCTCCCTCTTGCTCAAGCTAGTCTCGAACTCCTGAGCTCAAGTGATCCTCCCACCTTGCCTCAACCTCCCAGAGTGCTAGGATTACAGGCTTGAGCCACCATGCCTGGCCCTTAGATTTCTTTTAGAAAAAAGAAAACTAGGGCACAGAGAAATAACAGTGTGCAAATCGGTGAATTTCTATGAGATTTGGTGAATAAAGAACAAAAGCTGATAAAATGAGAGAGGTAGAGTAAGGAGGTAGCTTGAGTTTAGTCTTTGGAAAAATCTTGGATAAGAATCCCAGCTCTACCACTTAGGCAAGGTGATGGAAGAACTGCTTTTTAGACAGTTAAAAGTACCATATTTTCATTGCATATTTTGAAGTGTTCACTTCCATATGCTTTCTCATTATAACTGTTGGGACCAAAAAAAAGATACCTTTTTCAGGTATATCTTCAAAGGTGTCATGTGTGTCTTCAAATGCAAAATTTCAGAGACCAGCAAGGACAAATTAGATGCTAATTACAGAAGGTTTCAATCCCTTCTTACTATCCCTTATGTAATATACTATACCATCTCTTAAATAGTAGAAATTGTCAAGGCTACAGTTAAATAGGGATAGTTAGTATAGTATAGATCATTAACTACTCATTAAAGAGATGGGGGAACCAAAACTGTATGAGCTACTATCAAATGGATGAAATAAAATGAGAGATTGATTACAGCTATTCATTCAGTGGGAAAATCTGAAATGAAAAAATTTAGAATGTAAATGTTTTTTTGTGTCATATTTAGGTGAATCCAATCAAGTTAAAAATCCCACCACACCATATCTCGGATATGAGCAGATGGCTCATTGGTGGTGCACAGTAAAATCATTTTGTGTAGTTGATTTAAAATTTGACTTAAAACAGGGAAATAATATTTGTGTTCTCCAGAGTAACAAAATTTATGCTATGTAATAATTTTGGCACATATACAGAATCATGTTTAATGGGCCCTCTAGAGCTCTGGTGAATACCACAATTTGGTCTGTTTTCTACATGTTTTAGAAATCTGGAAATACTATAGGAAAGGAAATATTTATTGTAAAGTTTTTGCATAAAGCTCAACTCCTATTCTCTTGAAGTTTAGCGAAAGGATCAAGGACTGTATGTTCTTCATTAATTGTAGTCAAACTGAATTTAAGAGATTTTTAATAGCTGTTTAGAATTAGTATTTGAAGCTGTACTACAAGGAATATTAAGTTTTTTAGCATTGAATAGTCCAACATATACCCATTTAAAAATTAATAGTCATCTGCCGGGCGTGGTGGCTCATGCCTGAAATTCTAGCACTCTGGGAGGCTGAGGTGGGCGGATTGCTCGAGGTCAGGAGTTCAAAACCAGCCTGAGCAAGAGCGAGACCCCATCTCTACTATAAATACAAAGGAATTAATTGGCCAACTAATATATATAGAATTAGCCAGGCATGGTGGCACATGCCTATAGTCCTAGCTACTTGGGAGGCTGAAGCAGTAGGATTGCTTGAGCCCAGGAGTTTGAGGTTGCTGTGAGCTAGGCTGACACCACGGCACTCACTCTAGGCAACAAAGTGAGACTCTGTCTCAAAAAAAAAAAAAAATTAATAGTCATTATCACTTGATTCCAAGTATATGCATATATACTTGCAAACATATATAAATAAGTGTGTTTTATTTTTTACTACACAGATAAACAATCAGATCCTGTATGGAAGAAGTCACCAAAATGCATCTGCCATTATTAAGACTGCCCCTTCAAAGGTCAAGCTGGTTTTCATCAGGTATGATTGATAGATCTGATTTTCTAAAATCTAAGATATCTTTTGGAGATGTTATTATTAGTATAAGACTATGTTATGTTTGGTTTGTCTAACAAAATCACTGTTTATTCTAAAAATACGTTTTTCTTTTGTAACTATCACTTTAAGAAAAGTATAGATTGTTGTGATTATGAGGTTTTCTTATGTTTCACGTGATAGAATTGGTAGTTGAAGCTAGTATTTGTATTTCAATTATAAAAAAATTCTTCCCTACAAGCTGGAGGACTGAATGTATAAAAAAAAAAGGAAAAAAAAAAAATTCTTCCTTTGCTGGGTCTGATTATCCTGTATATCAGGCGTCCTCAAACTATGGCCCGAGGGCCACATGCTGTCCGCCTAGGACATTTATGCAGCCTGCCTGGTGTTTCTGCCGCAGCTGCCTGTCCTGCTTAGCAGCCAACTCGTCCCGGGCCCACAGTGCACACTCTCCAACGGTCTGAGGGACAGTGAACTGGCCCCCTGTTTAAAAAGTTTGAGGACCCCTGCTGTATATAAATATAATGGAACCTGCTAACTTCTCTTCCTGTCACCATTATTTGGTACATTTGCTCAATCATTAATGTCTTCATCAAAGAATAAACAGGAAAACAGAACCAAGGAAACTGTTAGGCGCTTCATTTTAAGAGTGCTGGTAGGAAATTTGGAGATGTCAGTTCCACTGTCCAGAATTGTGTCCTGTGTTTGGGGCTGTATAATTACCCATACCTCACCTGCGAGCTGACTGAGCCCTTATGGTATGAGAGAATCAGAATTGGGAATCTTTATTATTAGTCGCCATGATTGCCACATCCACAGTGGAATGGGGTTGTTTGATTCTCTGTTATTGGACTGAATGATGAATAAATCTGAATTATTTTTAGGTGATATAACTAACCCTATCTGTTAACTATTGGTCTGTTTCTTTTCCTTCTGGTCCTCAGTTATTGCCTGTAAAATGGGGATAATAAGGCACCTTTCTCCTTCGCTGTGATATATTTAAAATTTTAAATGCTTACAATAATATCTAACATAGAGTAAGGAATGTAAGAATGTTAGCTGCTATTTTTTGATGGTGATGATCATTAGTATTCTTCCCTTTTGCATTAGTTACCATCAGTGAGACCTATCTATTCCTGGGGACCACCAGAATGAGGGGCTAGTTTATTCACAGGTATAGGCACTCACATGATTGAACAATTCCTTCACACGTCATCACTTTAGCTTCACCTGATGTTGCTGCTTTGCTCCTGAAAGAACCCTACACTGGTGTTCTTTTCTCCCACCCAGTGGCACTTTCTGACTTTCCAAGTTTTTACTCTATTTCCAAAGGGAGAAACCTTCTTCTTTCTTGTATGTCTTTGTGTGTTAAGACAACCCCTCCAAGTTTACTCATCGTGACCTCCTCTGTTGAACACCAATCTCTTTTTTTGGTTTTCTTCTTCTTCCTATTGTCAGGAGTTACAAAATTACAGTTAGTTGATGAAAGCTTGAATAGACTTTAAGAAAGGTCAGCACTCAAGACATTAAGATGTTGTTCATTATGAGAAGTTCACAAAAGTGATGCATTTAGGCTTGAAGGCTTCGTATAAAGTTGTGTGGGGATTACGTGAAAAGATGTATGTAGCACTTAACTGTGTCTGCTCATGGTGTTTAGGACATGGGGGTGGCTGCTACCACAGGTGCTGTTATTAACATTATTATTACCTCCTCAGCATTTGTGGGGCCTTTGTTACCATTTTAAAGAGAGCAAAAAGAAAATTGAATATGGTCCAAAGAAAATCATTTAATGCAATTAAATAGTTGGGAAATAGAACACTTCAATTAACATAAAGGAAGGAAGTATTCATCTGACTGAAAACTGTTACCTAAGGTGATGAATTCTTTTCTCAAGCATGGCTGAACTATAAGGCTTAGTGAATAAAAGGAGAAACTCTGGATTTGCCCGGCCTGGGCTTGAAACCTAGTCTCCCAGCAATGGGAGCTTGTTCAGGATCCTGATCTGTAATACGGGGAGGATGTCACTATCTCATCAATTGTCTAGTGTGTTAATATGTAGAAACTGCCTGACCATTAACGGCTCAACGGTGATGCTGCTGCTGTGAATGATGGCAGGAAATGGTGGGAAGGACAGGAGAAAGAAGGAGTTAATAGAAAAATAAAGAAGTCAGGAAGAAGGAAAAAGGAAGAAAAAAGAGAATCATTCTCTATATATACTTTGTCTATTTTGAGTATTTTTTTAAGTGAAGCACATTCAGTTTAAGAATGCTTTAATTAACATCGTAATGATTAAGCCTTGGAAGGGATAGCTATGGACATGATATAAAACCATTTCTGGGAAATGTGAGAATAAAAGAGATGGGCACAGCCTGCTTAGAACATCAGTTCCCTGTCAGCAACGGCTTCTTTTTTTTTTTTTTTTTTTTTTTTTTTTAGTGGATGACTTGATACCCTAAGAGGAGTAGAACACTGTAAGGAATGTCTAAAGAAAAATCTAATTAATGCTAATTAATCCCCATGTCAATAAAATATAACAGATTTTACTGAGGCAAGTAAAATCAAATACTATCAGAATGTGGGGCACTTAAGGACAGCAAAAAAGAGAATATTTTATTGTTCCTTGGATCTGTACATGACCAATGGGGACACAATGGTGGATTTTCTTCCCAGTCACATGCACTGGCCTGTGCATTTTAGGTGCTGTTCAACATTTCATCTTCCCTCGGGCTGATTGCCTAGCTCGTTAATCACAGGCGCATCTTTCAACCTTTGCCATATATATATTTTTTTTTTTTTTTTTTTCGTGGACGAGGTTCTGGGCCCAAGAGCAGGGGCCCCGGAAGTCCGCCATGCCATATATATTATTAATACCATTTCAAGCTTTTGTTATACAAACCTTGATTTTGCCTATTTTGGAACCAAATCTTGAGTAATTAATAATTGATTCGTTAACAGGGTTCAGGAAGTTAACATTTGAATCACATCAGCACCACAGATGTGATTTTACTCTTCTTTTAAACCCTACATAACTTGTACTGTGTTATGAGGTTACTTTGAAAACTGTTTTTGTAATTTGTATTTCTTTTACAGTTTGCTTGTATTTAGCAAAATTTCCTTCCTCGGCTGAAATTATTAATTCTCTTTGCCTTTCCATTATGCAGAAATTTTTGGCTTTATAACTCAGCAACTCTTTTTTAAATTTATTGACAAGTGATTATAAAAAAGGGAATTCAGCCATAGGTTTTGGAGTATGATTAGCAGTAATCACAGAAAGCCATTAAAATATGCTGCAGGCAACATTTTAATTAACTAAGGCCTTTAGTCTACAGTGATGTACATATTTCGATCGAGTCCTTGTCATATTCTTTTAACACTTGTGGTTATTCATGTACTAATTGATCTATAATTTGCAAGGGGTCTATGGATCAGTAGTGCAAATTAGCAAATTGCTCCTATATATACATACATAATTACCTTTTCCCTTTTGCTTTTCACATCATTAGATTTTGGACTATCCTGGAAATTATACCCTGAACATATAGGCTTTGATATATTAAATTATTCAACTCTGGATCATCCAGATGTGTTTTGCAATCCAAGTTCTTGCTCTGCACCATACATTCAGTTCTATGGGTTTTCCTCCTCGGCATTATCCCCTCCACATGAGCCCACAGTTTAAGTACAGGAGAAGAGCTGTATTAACACAATGAATGAATTGCTGTATTTGGCAGTGCAGGGATCCAGGGAGATTAATGATCTTGCCTGCAGCTCTTGTCGTACCTTCCCCCACTACTGAAAATTAAATGTCATGTATAACAACTCACTCTCCATTACTTAATTACATGTGGAAAATGTGTACTGTGTAAAAACTCCTGGGGCTAAAGGAGGCCAAATGAAACTGCAACACTTGGAAAGATTTAGTGCTAGCTGTCAAGCCCTACTGTGTAAGAATGGACTCACCATGGGATCCACCTGTTTTGATTGAACATATGTCTTGTTTTTGTAATTAAAATTATAGCGTGGCCCGTTATCCTCTGGTCATAACCCTGAAAGATGATATCAACTTGAGATTAATGTGAATGTCAGAGTCATCTTGAGGAGGTGTCCATCTGAAGAAGAAACCTGGATATTTTAAAAATGCTTATCATGCTCTCGATTCATGAGACTAGTTTTGATAAATAGGAAGGAAAAAAGATTGTGTGCACAAGCATGAATTTTGCTTTCATAAAGAAACATTCATTTTTCCACAGTTTACTGAGTGCCTAATTGTGTTGGTGCTATGGAGTCAGCGATGGAAAGAACATAGTCTCTCCCCTAAAAAATGAGACAGAGAACAAACAATAGTCTAGTACCTTATCCAATGATGAAAGTATTATGATGCTGTAGGAACTAAAAGAGATGCACCCAATCTAGTTTTTGGGGTCTAAGGAAAGGTGTCACAGACAAAGACGCTTAGGTTAAGACTTGAAGAGTGGTAAGCAAAGTCATAGTTGTATAGAAACCCAAAGATTCCAGAATCAGATGTTATGCCCAGTCAATACACCCGGACATTTGATTCCAGCAGAAAAACCAGACCTTCTTCAGGAAAGTACCATTGGATGAATACAGCTATGTATGTCAGTTGTTTTGAATTTTGTAAGGAAGCATCTTTCTCACTTTCATGGACCTTTAATGAATGAAGTGCCCTTTTTCAAGTGTGCAATAAAAAGTCATCCACGGTGTATAAGACAAGAAGTTTTGCGGAAGATACCTGTCACTAGCACTGAACTCTATTAGGAGTTGCAAGGAGGACGAAGTAGGACACTGGCAATTTCAAGGCTCTTTTGTTTCTCTATTTAGTGGGACCATATGGTAGACCAATATAAGTCACTCGTAATGCCATGAAATGCCAACTCTTGCTTGATTTCCTTCACTGCCAAGATGTGGCCAGTGGGTGTTCATGTGTCCTAAGCTTGATACCTTAGGCTTAGGATTGGAAGCAAGTC